GTGCTTTGTTACAAACCACCAAAGCCGATTTGCAATTATTTTGTCCAAAACGTTGGCAAAACAGAGGTTAAGTGATATCGGTCTGTACACAGAAAGAAAAGCTGGTAATATCAACCAAAATATGGGTTGATTTAACCAAAATTACGGTCAATTCTTATCCATGATTCAAAACTGTTAATTCCACTGTATTAAAACTGTTAACAGTTTTTAGCAGTGAAAACGGAAGAAAGCCGTTATTTCATATTAACAGGACCCTGTTAAATCAACATATTTCCGTCACTTTGTAGGTGAAATTTTAGACTGTTTGAACAACAGTGATTTCAGTTGTCTTAAAAACGACAGTATTATGTGTTAAAATAAAGAAGATTTCTGTCATCTTGGAAATAACAGTTGTCGCAGTTGAACTAACAGATAGTCTGTCGTCTTTAGAACACCTACGATTACTGTTGAAATAACAGTCAAATCTTTTGTTCCCTAAACAACAGTAATATCTGTTGAAAGAACAACATGCAGTTAAATACAGTTTTAAATTTTTTTATTTATAAAAAGTTTATATTAATATAATACAAAAATTCAATTGTAATTTTTTTAATAATACATATGAGTATGTATTTGTAAAAGCTACAATGGTTTTAGTCGTATATAAGATGAATCATTTAGCATTGTATGAATATTTTGAGGAAAACTTTAAAAAATTATAATTTCGTTTAGTATTTTTTTTAGTAAGAAAAGCTTGGTAATGTTCATCAAAACTATGAACTTCTATTTCTGATTAAATGCCATACACCCTTTTGTTTAAATCGATAGATAAGTATTCAATTTTATGCACATGTAACTTCTTGTTCAAAAACAGGCAGAGATAAAAATTACTTTTATATAAAGTTCCTTTGTACAAAATTTCTTTTAAAAAGATTAGGTTTTTGACGCCGAAATGCGGTTGCATGAAAGTTTTTACATGTTCTGAAATTTCTTCATAATTGATGGCTATATTATACGTAAATTAAAACTTAAAGTAAAAACTTAGAAAATTGATAAGTCATTGTCATTGTACTTCAGCCAAGCTTTCATGATTTGCAAAACGATGTCATATGCTTCATTGCTGGAGCTTTCACTGTCTTCGCAGAGCGACTCAGTACCAGCCTTGGAAGAACTTACAAGTGATAATCTACGCTTTTTACGGACATTGAAATAGCGGTTGTAAACTTTTCCGTTTTTTCCCACGAACCTGTGCATTAAAAGCGCAATTTCGGAGAATTGGAGACTCCGAATTACTTGCCAACGAGTTCTGAAAAATAATTTCAATAACATTGTTTTAATTTAGATAATTTTTGAATTTATACTAGTCAAAATTTTTAAATGGTTTTAAAATAGTACAAAAGTATTCAAAACATTTAACAAATGTGTGTATAATAATAATATACAAGTATTTAACAAATAACACTCAATAATAATTATTACCATTGAGTTAAAATTGTTTTACGACGATTACAACTTGTTGACTTTTTTGGTAAAAATTTAAAAAATTACGATTATTTTCCGTCCCTGTTTTAAAGTAATACACACATTTGTAAAATGTTATAAATGTTACCATTCAAAAATATTTTCAGTAATATTTGTACAATTTGCAAATTACTTTAAAACATAACGCTACACATATGTATTTGAACTAGGGCTGCAAGTTAGTTAATCAGTTGTTCGGTTAATCAGTTACTCGAGCAATCAATATTTTAATTTTTTTTAAAATAATTTTCGGTTATTTTAAGACGATTCCCAAATTAAAATAATTAACAAATATTTGCAAGTATTTGTAAATACTATTTCAATAAAAACATGTTTTTATTTACATATCGCACACCGTCTTCAAAAGAGTCACAATTCAAAATTTGGCATTTTTGAAATTATGCGCTAAAAATGTACACAGAGCTTTTATTTACCTTTCAACAAAAGCTGGAGCAAATTTTTGTTATAATTTGTTAAAAAAAAAAACTAAGGTAAAGTCGCCCTTGCCCATATGATTATCATGTGCTAAGAAATAGTTTTTCGCATTTTCTGACAAACGTATTATTTTGAGTTGTAGCTCTTTTGAAGACGGTGTGCGATTTATACATGCATATGCATGTTTGTCGAGCCCTAAACGCCAAAAAATATAAGCAAATTTTTTTAGTTATCTCCTACTTTAGGTTTTTTTTTAGCAGTTAGGGCTCGATATAGTAGTATTTCTGACATGTACTCACGTTAATCAGTAGCCGCAGTTTGGACCGAAACTTAGCTTTTACGCCTAAATCCTTTACATCGGAAAATTTCGTCCAAATCTGATTCCGTCAAAAGTTCAAGTTCCTCCTTTACAATGCCCGCTTCTGCGATATCGTAAATATTTTATAATTAAAAGTTGAAACAGTTTCTTTCATGAAATAACTTACTCTGTAGTACAGAGAGCGCGTTCTCCAGCCCCCACACCTTCAGCAGATTCAAAACATCGTTCGTCTGTTTCTGCCATTTCTAAAAAATAAGAAGCTTTTAAAAATTAGAATGGATTCACGTTGCATCTTGTGGTTAATAGCCGGCATACGCGGTGCACCGACGCACCGTGTAAGCCGCCTATAAATTTTAGAAAAAGAGTTATTGTGAAATGGCTATTACGAAGCTGACGCCGCATTAGACGCTAACGAGCCGTTATTTTATCGAACGCGTTAACATATTAAATAGATACACCTTGCAAAGCAAATGCAAACTCGTACTTTTGGCTACGTGCATAGACACACATGCGTATATACATACAAACATATTCTTGTGGCATTTAAGTGTACCCAACGAGTATTTTGTGAGTGTTTTTAAAGTATCTAAATAAGTTAATCTTAATAAATGTTTAGCTGATTTTTACTTTCAGATATGTCTTTAAAAGTATATTACTATATTATACATCTAAGTACATTTGTGTATACATACGCGTGTTTTATATTGTTAATATAAACTTATTTAAAGTCATTTTTAAAATCACTCACAAAAAATCTCGTTGGGTACATATAAACAGCATAAAAACATATTCGTATATACATATATACATACTTATTTAGTCACTTAAAAACACTCACAAAAATGCACGTTGGATACACTTAAACGCCACAAGAATATATTTGTATATATGTACATATATAAGCGCGAGTTAGTGTAACAGAAAATACACTACTGTACCGATGACATCATCCAATGTATGATACAGAATCAGTAGTTTACATAAAAGATTCCTATTGAACATTATCAGCAACCAAAACATTCCTATTGAAGATTATCAGCAACCAAAACATTGTCAGCAAATAAAAGATTGAACATTATCAGAAACCAAAACATTCCTATTGAAGATTATCAGCAACCAATAAACAAAAGAAACCAGAGCCTATAAATAGAGGATTAAGCATAGAAACAAGTTAGTCTTCTATTATACTGAAGCATATGAACTTCAGGTTTGAATTGATTTAAGTACATCTTGGTACCAATAAAATTATATTTATTTATGTACATCGAGAGTATGAATTTAACTCGCGTGTGGTATATACACATAGCCAGACAAACGCGCCTAGATTTACTTAAGATTAGTTAAAAGACACAAAATTGCTAGTTGGGACCATATATGTATGTATGTACATAATTATCACAAGAATGGTTGCGTTCATAAGACAAAGCTGTTTAGCTCATCTGCTACGAAACTGCTGGCAACTGTTGAACCCAACAATTACGTCTTAGAAACGGCTTGATGAATATGCTGCCAAATGAACAGCTGATAAATGTAAACAAATGAAATTGCAACAAATGGAGATAGTTGCGCCGTTACTATTTAGAATTCAACGCTGAGCGGCCGCCGTGTTGAAAAAATCGTTCAATGTTACAATGAATTTAACAGTGTAAAATTATATAGCAAACGTCTTAAAAACATATATTTAGGAACGTAGTATTATTATTAAATATTTTAGTTACTTTATCACGTCAGTAATATAAAATATAATAAATTTGTTTGCAACTGCCACATAACAAAGCGGCGTTAAATTTAATATAACCGGCGTAAGTCTTTTCGATCAGCTGTTTAGGCTAAGCCCAACACGTTGAGTTCAGGTAGCGTAAAAATTTTCCGCTGGAAAAAATGGCAGAAAGTTGCCAACTGTTGGGCTGAGCGTACCTACTCAACTGTGCGTTTCTAAGCCAAACAGCCAACGGTTACCCAACAGCTACGACTTATGAACGCACCCAATATGTTTGTAAATACGCATGAGTGTATGTACACGTAGCTAGACGAACTCGACCGCACTTGCTTTACAGTAGCTACACACGACGAGCATATCCGCGCACATGCGCGGCTTGCGGGTCATGCTCGTCGTTTGTAGGGCGGTTTGCGAGCATCGCATTGGAAACAAAAACAACAACCTCACTTTGTGTTGATGCTTGCAGTGTGCACATCGCGGATAAATGCATCCAAGCCATGTGCGTTAATTGAATTTTTGATAAATGAGGCTAAATTACTATATGTATATGTGGGCGGGTCGATTTAAAAATCGCTCATTGCTCTGTGAAAATCGTATTCTAGGGATCAAAATAAGAAACTTTGCCGAAGGAACCATACCTCTAAAACGAATTCTGATGTCCCCCAATTTGGGTCGAACTTTTGGGTAGGGGCAAATTTTGAAAAATCCCACTTTGACCCATTTAGAGTGCTCCAATCGAGTCCAAATGTATGACCGACCCCCACTAACTTTGGACGGCCGATCCATCCATGCCAGTGGCACACCCCCTGGAATTCCCCTGGGGGGTTCCGCATACAATCATTTCAAAAAATCACAATTTTTGGCCTTTACATGAAAAAATCAGCTAAATGGCTATGTTTTTTCTTTATTTTTATTTATTTATTTATAATAATATTTATTATTTATTTATAATAATATCTATTTTTTCTCTTAAGAAATTTATTTAGTCAGAACATATGTAAATGAAAAAATTAATTTAAGTGAGCTATAGAAAAGGAACTAAAAAAATTATTGTTTGAAGTCTTTTCTACTTTCAAGTCTGGGCAATTTCGCACGGCTCTCTAATGTCGTCGCCATAACAGACGCTGTGATCCTGACCGAGTAAAAGCGATAATGAAAATAAAAAAACCGAATAATAAGAAAGATTTGCAAAAATTGCTCGGCATGATAAATTATATTCGTGAATACATACCAAATTTATCTAGTATTTCACAACCGTTACGAGAATTGCTAAAATCCAATGTCGTGTATGAATGGCATTCAGCTCACGAAAGTTGCTTAGAGTCGATAAAAACACTAATTGCAAACGCACCAACGCTTCAATCTTTTGATGAAAGAAAAGAAATAACCCTCGAAACAGATGCATCTAAATCTGGCATAGGGTGTTGCCTCATGCAAAACGGAAAGCCTATCGCATTTGCATCACGCAGTCTTACAGACGCCGAAATTAACTACGCTCAGGTTGAAAAGGAGTTTTTAGCCATTTTATTTGCTTGTCGTAAATTTCACTATTACATCTATGGTCGAAAGGTTACGATTAGGACAGATCATAAGCCCCTTGTTTCGATAATGAAAAAAGAATTTTGCAAAATCCCTTCCGCTAGACTCCAACGCATTAAACTTAGTTTAATTAAATATGACCTAAACTTGATCCACGTTCCAGGAAAATTTTTATACATCGCTGATCTGTTGTCTCGATACTTTGATGAGGACAATAACGCGCCCGATATTGAAGATCTTAACGAATTCGTCCATTCATTAAACATCACCGACGAACGCCTAAACAGTTTTCGAATCGAGATAGAAAAAGATAAGCATTTAACGCAGTTGAAACAAGTTTTAATAAATGGCTGGCCTCATAAGAAAGAGTTGTTATGTGACGATATTAAAATGTTTTGGAAGCATCGTTCTGATCTGTTTTTAGAAGACGGTATCTTATATTTGAATAACAGGGTTATTGTACCGCCTGTTTTGAGAGAAACCATATTATCGCAGCTGCACGTGTCTCATTTAGGTATTGAAAAAACAAAAAAGCGCGCTCGCGAATTAGTGTACTGGCCAGGAATTGATGGTGCTATTGAGAAAATGATAACCAATTGTGACATATGCCAGCGAAGTCGATCCGCTAATGTTAAGGAACCAATGATACCACACAGCATTCCCAATCTACCCTTTAATAAAATAGGCGTAGACATTTGTGAATTTGCATCAAGAAACTATTTAATAATAGCGGATTATTACTCGCGATATTTGGACATAGCGCCGTTGAAATCGAAAACAGCAACTGAGTGTATCAATGCACTTAGAACATGTTTCGCCGTACACGGATTACCTGTAGAAATAATTTCAGACAATATGCCCTTCAATTCATACGAGTTTAAACGATTTTGTGATCAAATTGGAGCTAAATTAACAACAACAAGCCCTGGTTATTCGCAATCCAACGGTTTTGCTGAGCGTTTCGTTGGGATAGCAAAAAACTTAATAAAGAAAACAAATGAGAGTAAAAAAGAGTTATGGCTGGCCTTACTCGAATATCGCAATACACCGCTTAAAGATATTGATGCTTCACCAGTGGAACTTTTAATGAGTAGAAAAACCCGCACCCTTTTGCCAACAAAAACAACTTTGTTTCAACCAAGAATCATTCCGAATATATCTAACAACATAAATGCAAAAAATTACAAGTCAAAAAAATACTACGATCGTTCTGCATCGCAAAAAAAATCCTTTGTGAAGGGTGACAAGATATGGTATAAGAACAACAATAAGGGATGGGTAAAAGCTACAATCATCGACACACACGATTCACCTAGATCATACTGGATCGAACTAGAAGACCAAACCATTTACCGGCGAAATTCGAAATGGCTGCGAAAACGATTATAGTTATTGGTATATTAGAATATTTGAACTTTTTTAATCATTGAATTATAAATTATTAATGAATTTACTTAGTATATGAATTAAGAAGGGAGATGTTATATATATGTAAACTATGGCATCCCCTACACACATACATGTAACTTACTTTACGTTGACATCACTGTCACTTTAATTGAAATAAACAAAACAGTCTTGTACTGCACTTAAACGGAATAACACAATTTCAATTGCATCATCCGCGTCTTTCCTTTCCATGTTTACGCTTTGAGTACAAAATCACTTATGAGCCGCTCGCCGTCTGTAGCAAACGACAGCCAGCATGTTGGCGCACATGTGCGGGGATATGCTCGTCGTGTGTAGCTACTATAGGGCTGCCAGACGTCCCGGTTTTCCCGGACATGTCCCGGTTTTAGACTATTTGACCCGGTGTCCCGGTCCAACCTAAAAATGTCCCGGGTTTCATTTAAATGTCCCGGTTTTCGATTTGATTGCACAAATTTGGATAAAAGTTCAAAAATAACTACAATTTTATGAATTCACTGAGCAAATAACGCATAGTAAACATGAATATTTTTATTTGATTACACTGTGAGACAAATGGTAGGGGTCAGTGATCAGGAAGGGTTCAAACTACCGGGGAAAGTTATATCGGTAAAAAAGAAGTTATACGTGTCCTGGCGTTTCGCTGGGTCACGTCTAGGAATCGAGATATATATAGTTTTAAAAAAATGTAATATTTTAAGCAAAAAATATTTTTTTTCTTCATACATTTATTTTTACCGGCAAAACTTTTGATTATATAGAAAAACGTTATATGAACAGATTAAAGGAATTGTAATTTTCAATTTTTTTAAATTTGTTTGAGCAAAATCGGACTAGTGGTTCTCGAATTATGTCAAAAAAAAGACCACCAAAGGTGACAATTTTCCCTATATGATAGT